GTGGGAGAGGACCTCGAGGGAAGGAGGGAAGACAGAAGTGAGAAGGAGACAGGAGAGTACTGGGTCAGGTCAGCCAGAAGGCATTACATGCATCTATGAACTCGCCAAAGAACAATTTTAATAGGAGGTTTTTTGGCTTTTGGCTTTGTTTGTTTTTTGTTTTGTTTTGTTTTCCAGACAGGGTTTCTGTCTTGTTTTCTAGACTGTCCCATAACCCATTCTGTTTAGCAGGCTGACCTCGAACTTACAGGCATAGGCCTGCCTATGCCTCCTGAGTGCTGGGATTAAAATCGTATACTACCACTGCCCAACCAATAGGAGTTTTTTTTAAAGAAGAAATTAGATACAGAATTCTGTTACATTGTGTGGGCCAAGTTTATATAAAGTATGAAATGAAGCTCGTGCGTAATTTCAGCTCACAGCACAATTCTTTCAATGAAAATAAAAGTAGCCACATGACTGAACATCTAAAATATATCCAACAAAATGATTTCCCAATGAGATTGATCTTTGGGAGATATTCAGGGACCCGAGGACAGTCGCTACTCACCAGGGTCAATTAAGGCAAGGAACATGGACACATGATATCAAGAGACTAACAAGACAAAACTCTTGTGTCTGAAAGCCTAGCTTGGTCAGGAAAAGGGGACATGTTGAAGGAACAAGGAACAAAAAAAGAACAGTTGGCCGATATACTACAGAATCAGAAGTAAACGAGAGTGCCAGGAAGCTGTGTGTGCTGATTATCCACAGTGTGCTTTGCTGTGAGATGACTAATGATGCTGCCCTTTCCATCAATCCACAGAACAAGCCGTCAAGAGCAAAGCTGACTTCTCCAGACAGGACACCTGAGCCCTCCTTCACGGGTACTCACAGCTGCTTGTCCAAGGCTGAATCTTCAACCTCAGTGAAGTAAAGGCCTCGAGGAGTACATGGGACAGTGCATCACAGACCAGCATGGGGAGGGGCTCCACTCGTGTCCCAGGCATATGCCCCTGCCCTGGCCCCTGCTGGGCTGGAAGCCCCTTACCTCATTTCCAATTCTAAACAATACCCCACCCCACAGTGAAGGGACTATGACTGTTGTTTGAGCTTTACCTGGACACTTGGTGGAGTCCAATCTCTGGAGTGTGGATAATGGTCACTGAAGCTGTTTAAGGGGACAATGAGGGGACCCACAGGGCTCTTGTGCTTCTGCTCTGAATTTTTCTCTCTCAGAAGCGACTTGCCTCAGGCTTCCAAATGGAGTTTGGGGCAGGTTTCATGTCTCAGCTACACTAAACCCACATTGCGAGGATGATTCAGTGACAGATTCTGTGCAAGGAGAGTGGTGTCTTTGGAAAGAAAGAAGGTGTGGGATAGCCGTGATGGCTGTCCTGCTCCCGGACCCCAGGAAGACCTGAGACACTGACACATGAGCGGAGGCCACTCGAAATGCCATACAACGCTAACAGTGGGAGACATCTCGAGAGAACTCTTTCTGGGAGCTTTGTGTATTTTCATGATAAAAGCATCCCAAAGGTCTCTAGAAGATAGATCAGGTAGAAACCTCCAGTTTAGACTAGGTCTCTCTGAGTAATGTCTGGCTGTGGGTCTCTGCACCTGCTCCCTTCTATAGCCAGAGGAAGACTCTCTGGTGACAACTGGACAAGGGACTGATCCATTAGTATAGCAGAATATCATTAGGAATCATTTCATATTTTCCCCAGTCATGTTTGTTACTTTTACCCTAGATCTCTGGGTTATCTAGTGTCTAGTTCCTGGCCATCCAGGCAGGGAAAGGCATGGGCTCCCTCTGATGGCATGGGTCTTAAGTTAAACTAGTCATTAGTAGGCCAGTCGCACAAGTTCTGTGCCACCATTTCCTTAGCTCATCTTGCAGGCAGGGCAGATTTTAGGCAGAGGGTTTGTGTGCAGGTTTCTATTTCGATAGGCTGCAGAGTACCTTCTGGGGATAAAGACACTAGGATATAGGGGTGAAGTCTCCAAATCCACAGCATCTTGAACTCTCTGTGTACAATGTAACAGTGTGGATGTTTTCCTAGGCAATAGGGCCTCATTGTCTGTTTTCAAAGAATGGTCATCTGTCTTACGATCAGCCTGAGTTCTTTAGGGTCCTCCATGGGACCTCCTTGGCCAACAACTCAACTAAATGTCACCTCACTGGAAGCCATACCTAGCTTCAAAGGTGAACATTTCAGTCCCCACATCATCCTTTAAGGAGTCCTCAATAGGGTCATCCTGGTAGGTCCCAGGAAGTTTCTACTACACTAAGTTATCATACCTCCCCAAGTGCCCCCCAATTCCCGCTGTCTCTACCTATACATACTCTCTTCCTACATCCCTCCACTATGTGGTCACTCCTGTTCCTATCCCCTTCAATCCCTGGTCCACCCTCAGAATCTATTCTATTTCCCCTTCCCAGGGAGATACATGTTTCTACTTTATAACCCTCCTCCTTACCTAACCTCTCTGAGTCTGAATTGTAGCTTGATTATCATTTTGCTAAATGGCTAATATCCACTTATAAGTGAGTAGATACCATATTTGTCTTTCTGGGTCTGGTTTACCTCACTCACGGTGATTTAATTTTAGTTCTATCTTTTGCCTACAAACTTCACGATGTCATTATTTTTAAAACAACCAAGTGTTATATACCACATTTTCTTTATCAATTCCTCAGTTGAGGGACATCTAGATTGTTTCCAGTTATTGGCTATCATGAATAAAGCCATAATGAGTCTAGATGAACAAGCGTTCTTGTGATAGGATGGAGAGTCCTTTGAGCATATGCTCAAGAGTGATATAGCTGGACCCTAAGGTAGATTGATTCCCAGTGTTCTGATGAACTACCATATTGATTTCCTTAGTGGCTGTATGATTTGGATTCCCACCAGCTATGGGAGAGCATTACCCTAACTCCACATCCTCACCAACATGAGCTGTCACTTGTGTTAGTGTCTTAGCCATTTTGATGGGTATAAGATGGAGTCTCAAAGTAGTTTTGATTTCCATTTCCCTCCTGGCTAAGATGTTGAACATTTCTGTAAGTGTTTCTCAGCCATTTGAGATTCCTCTATTGAAAATTCTCTGTGAGAGGGGTCAAGACCAGGCTGGAGAAACCCACAGAAACGTTGACCTGAACAAGGGGGATCTCATGGACCCCAGGTAGATATCTGAGAAACCAGTGTAGTATTGTTCTGGACCCTCTGAATGTGGATGTCAGTTTGGAGGTCTGGTTAATCTATGGGGCCTCTGGTAGTGAATCAGTATTAATCCCTAGTACATGAATGGACTTTGGGAGCCACTACACATAGAGGGATACTCTCTCAACCTAGACACATGGGAAGGGTCTGGCCCTGCTTCAAATGATATAACAGACCTTGAAGATCCCCCATGAAAGCCTCACCCTCCCTGGGGAGCAGAAAGAGGATGGGATAAGGAGCTGTTGGAAGACAGGGAAGGAGGGGAGGAAGAGGGAACTGGGATTGACATGTAAAGCAAGCTTGTTTCTAATTTAAATAAAAAGAAAAATAGATCTGTACCCCATTTTTAATTAAATTATTTGTTTTTTGATATCTAATTTCTTGAGTTCCTCATATATTTTGGATATTAGTCCTCTATTGGATGTGGAGTTGGTAAAAGTCTTTTCCCATTCTGTAACTGACTCTTGGTCTGATTGAAAGTGTCCTTTGCCTTACAGAAGCTTTTCAGTTTCATGAGGTCCCATTGTATTAGTTTGGTGGTATAGCCTGAGCTATCAGTGTTCTGTCAGGAAGTTGCGTCCTGTGCAAATGTGCTCAAGGCTATTCCCCACTTTCTCTTTTATCAGGTTCAATGTGTCTGCATTTGTGCTCATGTCTTTTATCGTCTCGGACTTGAGGTCTGTGGGGGGGATAGATATGAATCTATTTATATTCTTCTACATGGAGACATTCAGTTTGACCAGGACCATTTGTTGAAGATTTTTTCTTTTTTCCAGTGTGTATTTCTGGCTTCTTTATAAAAATCAGGCGTTTGTAGGTGTGTGGATTTACCTCTGGGTCTTCAGTTTGATTCCATTGACCCTCCTGTCTGCTTTTATGCCAATACCTTGAGTCTTTTACTACTATAGCTGTTTAGTACAACTTGAACTCAGGGATGGGGATACCTCCAGCAGGTGTTTTATTGCTTAGGGTATTTTAGCTATCCTGGATTTATTGTTTCCTTATTTGAGGTTGAGAATTGTCCTTTCAAGGTTTGTGAAGAATTGTGTTGCGGGTTTGATGGGAATTGCATTGACTCTGTAGATTCTTTTTGATAGGATGGCCATTTTTACTGTTAAGCCTAAGAACTCCTGCTGACCCTTTGTGTTTTCTTTATGTGGCATAATTAGCAATGGCTCCCTTTTTGTTTCACACTTTCATCTTTTTTCATGTTTTCGACATGAGTGTAGATGTGCATTTCTCTGGTGTGTTCACAGTTCTCCAGAGCTGTGTCTGTGCCATTGGCATGTTTTTTTTTGTTTTGTTTTGTTTTGTTTTTTTTTTTTTTGCTTTGTCCTATTCAGGGTTTCCTTCCTTAATTAATTTGGAGCCTATTTTGTTTTTGTTTCCAGTGCACTGAGGTCATTTCTTTCAGAGCTTCTTGAACTTTTGATGTAGTTATATGCCAGGGTTTAGATGAGTATTGGCAAGGTCCAAATGCACAGCTCTCATTATTCCAGGGCCAGTATTTGGAGGTTCTGTGCCCTGGAAAGTGTCATCCTGTTGTCCAGAATCACGTGTGCCTGTTGAGAAGGAGACAGCTCAAGTGCAATAATCAAAATCTCAAAAGTAAACTAAAACTTCACCAATTGTTTCCTGGGGAATGTGAAAGGTCACCTGAAGGAACAATGATGTTCCCATGAGGCGGTTCTCCTGGGCTCCAGCCCAACAGGATGGAGGGGGTGAGGGGATCAACCCTCAGTGATGCAGAAGGAGGGCCTACACCAGGTCTTGTGAGCTGCCATGTGTTTGAAGGGCAGGACCAATAAGCCTCACCATGTATAAATATCCCTGGTCCCTAGGGGCTCTGGTAGACTCCATTGGCTCATCCTTTGCTAAGTCTGAAAACAAACTGAGCACCATGAAGCTGTCCCTGTGTCTTCTGTTGGTCATCCTGGCTGTTCATTGCTATGAAGGTGAGTATCATTTAAGATGAGTCCAGCCACAGCTCCTGGTAAGTTTGCTTCTTTGAACAGTTGGTAAGTTTATGTGTGATAAGGTAAGTCAGGAAGAGCGATCTAAAATTTCTTCCAGCCTTTTTTTCTAGCCCTCATAAAAGCCCAGATACATTCAACTAATCTTTTCCTATTTAGGAAGCTGATGGGGTTGGGGGGAGGACAAGATGGCCATTATGAGTAAAGTTCAGGAGAGGAGTTTTGTTGTTTGTGTTACTTTTAAGTTTATTGTCTTTGTATCTGGGAAGGTGACTTGAGAGAGCTCCGTTCCACAGTCAATGTTTCTCCACTCTGAGGAGAAGTAGGCTCATGTAGCCTCATCTCTTTTCTGGGGGTTCCACCAATAACGGGGATGGAAACAGTGCAGTCATTACCACTAAGATGTCCACTTTCCTAAAATTAACTAATTTTTTGCAAGCAATCCATTTGTGTGTGAACAGATCATTCCTACATGCTCAGTACCTTTAAAATGAACCAAGTTCCATGGGCAGTTACTCTCTTTCCTTTCTGCATCTCCCTCTGTCTACCTAACTGCCCCACATGTGATAGTCTACAATGTGTCCCTACAGCCCCAATGAACCTGCTTTAGGTCCACATCAGATGCTGTTTGGCTGCCTCCTAAGGACAGTATTGTCATGCCCTTGGGAACACTGGGACTGGTGGTCCATCCCTGATATCCAAGCTAGGTAAATCTGAAACATGAGGAACTTTGGTCTGGGGCAAGCTCAGACCACCTCTGGAGTTAGGGAGGGGTGTTTTGTTTATTTTGTTTTGTAAAAGGGTCTTGAAGGGAATGTGGAACCTAGATTAGGAGAAATGATTTCCTCAGTTCTGCTGAAACATTCATCTAAACCTTTAGAAACCATAGGTTGGTGTCAGCTTCCCCTGTCAACCTCCCTAGAAGTAAGTCTGAGCATCAGTGTGGAAAGGCAAAGCTTGTCACAGTTTCCCAGATATGCTCTGGTGTGTGTCAAACTGATCAACTCAGTTGGGCAGTGGTGGCACATGCCTTTAATCCCAGCGCTCAGGAGGCAGAAGCAGGCAGGTCTCTGAGTTTGGGGCCAGCCTGCTCTGCAGATCAAGTTCCAAGACAGCAGAGCTACAAAGAGAACCTTGTCTCAAAATTAAAAAATAAAACCCTTGTAACTTTAGCTTAACTTCTGACCTTGGACTGTACTTGATGCAATGACCTAATTCCATCAATTTCAAAATGTCGACTTTCTATACATAAGCAGTCGGCTTGGTTTTTACTTTTGCATCTCTCGTACAATTCTAACTCTTCTATTCATGTCAAAGATGGATAACACAGAACTTCATTTTTTCAGCTATCAAAGACTCATGCAAATGCTACAGAAGATGCAGTCAAACCTCCAACTATTAGAGAGTCAATAACAATCTTTCTTCAGTCCCTTGCTGTGTGACCTTGAGGAAGTCACCCTGTCCTGCTTCAGTCACAGGAGTGAACTATGATACTGGTTATCCTATCCAGTCTGCAGCCTTAAGTCAGAGAGACTCAAGCAAAACAATCAATTAAACACGAAAAGTAATTTTGACTAACTGAGTTCTTTCTCCTTACACTTTCCAGCTAATGCTGCAAACGTCTGTCCAGCAGTTCTTTCTGTAAGCAAATCTTTCCTATTTGACAAGGTGGAGAAATTTGAGGCCTATCTTCAGACATTTAACGCACCTCCAGAGGCTGTTAAAGCAAAAGTGGAAGTGAAGAAATGTATAGACAGCACTCTGAACTATTTAGAGAAAATGGAAATGGGAAAAATACTGGTATGTTCATTTTTCTTTACACACACAGAAAGCTACAAATGAAGTTGACCTGACATTCTGTGGGGAACACATAGATGGGACGAGGCACTAGAATTACAGGTCACCAATGGTAGGTAGGTTCAAGAATACACTGCTAATTTGAATTCAGTAATAACTGTGTCTGGAATAGGTGCCTATTTCTAGAGGTCCACCCTAGACGCCACACTCTTGGGACACACTGAGAAGGACAAATGGGGCCCTACAAAGGGAGGATTCAGGGCTAACTCTATTCAATCTACTGGGAACAGTGCTGAAGTTGACTTCTACACAATGAATGGATATTATCTCTCTTGAATGCTGTGGGGAGTGATGGTGGTGAAAATCACAGACAGGAGGAAGGAAACTGGAGACAACCTCTTAAGAGCAAAATACTGATGGCATGCATTTCTCTGCCACCTTTGCTGGCCCTGCCAGGAGCCTGTGGACATCCTGTTTCCAATACTTCTTATTCACTTTTGCCCGGGGTGCCCCTGGTCATCCCATTGGAATGAAGGTAGAGCTCACAATTCTAAATCATCAGAGGAAGTTATACCTGAGGAACTGTGACATACTCTGGAACCCTCCTAGTCACAGAGACTTTGGGACCTGAGTCACAATGTTGAGTCCATTCAGAGTGTATTTTCCTGAATTTGGAAAGAATTTCCACTAATGTGCATCATTTGATGTAATTTCCCCACAGCAATTCAGTACTTCTGCCAAGCACACTTTGGGGCCCTTGCAGCAGTGTTCTTCCAAGGAGCACTAGTTTGCTAACTCTTTTTCTCTGGGAGTTTCCTGATTCTGCTCACCTTTCTTCTCTTGTTTCTGTTTATTTCCAGGCAGAAGTCGTTGGGTATTGTAAAGGAACAGAAAACTGAAACATGGCTCTTCCTGGTCTCCATTGCTTCTCACAGATAAACTGACTTTCCTTGCCCAATGTGAAGGTTTCAACGTCTTGCACTAATAAATTACTCTCCTTGCATGTTATCACCTGTCTGTCGTTATCCTCAATCTTGGGTCTTGCACTGAATGGGTTTTGATTTAAAAAAAAAGATTTCCAGTAATAAGTCACAGAGTTAATCTCTATCAATATGACTATCAAGTCTGGGGATCAAGCTTCAGGAACATTGGTGTTTGGGCAAGCATCATCTTGCACTGCTCTACAAGGAAGTTTCTCATTTCTGTAGCCATAAATGAAAATTATCACATATGAAAACAAACATTGGCCCCTCCTGTGGCCACTGTACTAAACTGTCTCATTGCTATCCATTACCACATGCCAGTCACTGCCTAAGTACTCCAACTCAGTATCTTCCCCATCCAACCCATGGCACTACTTATGGCAAGCTCCATATTCTGAAAGAAAAGCCTTGGTTGTCATAAGCTTCGTTAAAGTAGATCCACTGTGCTCTCCATTCCTTAAAGAAATGCAGCACAACATATGCAAGCTTGTGTCCTAATCATATCAATTTACAGTTTCCTTCCTTATGACTCTCTCAATATTTCCACATTTTCTTCCCCAGGAAAGCAGTCATGCTTTCATACCACATCAGAGCACAGAGAAAGACAAGAATGGATTTAGTGATGCCTACTGCCTACTGTTCTAAACTTGGTCCATATCCCAGAGTCTGATGGGTGCTTGCCCTAAAGGACAGGAAGAACACCCTTCAGAAAGTTCAGGTTACTAAAATCCATACCTTGTATGACTGACCAAGTAAACAAAAGAAAGAAAGAACTCTTCTGAGAATGTTATACAATCAAGGGCAACACTAAAAAAACAAACAAACAAAAAAAGCATACACCACCATAAATGTTTAGGTAAAACTGATGTTCCAACTGCATTACATCTAATAGGAAAGAAACTGAGATAGAATGTTGTTGCATGTTTTTTTAATTCTTGGGCTCTTTTGGGGGGCTGCCACCCAGCTCCCAAATAAATCTCACAGTCTTATTATTACTTATAAATGCATAGTCTACTCTTGGCTTGTTTCTAGTTAGGTTTTCTTAAATTAATCCCACCTACCTTTTGCCTCTGGGCTAATACCTTTCTCTGCCTTTTAAATATCTTACTTTTATTCTTACTCTATGACTGGCTGTGTGGCTGGCCCCTAACATCCTCCTGTCCTTGTTCCTTCTCCTCCTCCTTGATTTTTTACCCCCAAATTTCTCCTCCTATTTATTCTCTCTGCCTGCCACTTCCACCCATCCTTTGTCACACCCCCCACTGGCTATTGGCCATTCAGCACTTTATTAGGCCAATCAGGTGTTTTAGACAGGCACAGTAACACAGTTTCTCAGAATTATACAAATGCAACAAAAAAGAATGCAACACATCTTTTATACAGTTAAACAAGTGTTCCACAGCATAAACAAATGTAACTCATCTTTAACTAATATCATACCACAATGGAATGCCTAGGTGAAAAAGAATGGCAGTCATTAAAGCCATGTGTGCAACACAGAGGTCAAAATTTAAAGAAACAGTAGAAAAATAGAATTGAAAAAAACAGAAGGAAAAATTTCCAGAATTAAACCATATGAAACTGAAAAAGCCACAGAAACCCGTTCCTTCTCCACACTTATAGTTGGGTGACATGGAGAATTTCAATGAAATACAAATCTTCTTCCACAAAAAAAAGCAAAAAGAAAAACACTAAACTGTCTCAAAGTAGTGAGAGTGAAAGGGAAACCTAACAGAAAAACTTGTAGGTGATGTGGCAGACAAAACATTGCTTCCTTGCAACCCTGGGAAAGAGAGAGAGGTGGTGATATTTTGTTTGTGATCTGCAAGTAAACTTACCTGAAGATCAGAGTGTGGAGCTAAGCCACTAGTTAGCCATATAGGGCAGGCAGTGGTGGCTCCCACCTTTGATCCCAGCACTTGGAAGGTGGAGCAGGAGGGAGCCATAAATGGGCTACAAGAAACCCTGTCCCAAAACACACAATCATTATAGCACATGATCTGGATCTGTAATGAGTATATTTTACATCAAAACAAATACTGGGGCTAGGGAGGCATCTCAGTCAGTAGAGTGTCTGCTGCACATGCCGGGACAGGACTAATTTTGGATCCCCAGCAGCCACATGAAGCTACTTGTGATGATGGAAAAACTTGTAACCCAGCACTAGTGAAACAGAGACAGGCAGAACCCCAGAGCTACCTGGCCAGCCAACCTAAGCCATTGGTGAACACCAAGTTCCTTGAGAGATGAATGAACAGTTAAGTGCACTTGCTGCTCTTACAAAGGACCTGATTTCATTTCCTAGCACTCATGTTGGATGTCCCACAGCTACCTGTAATTGCAGCTCCAGCCTCATTTTCTGGTCTCCTACACACACACACTCACACACACACACACACACACACACACACACACACACACACACACATCTTAGGGAAGAAACTAAAACTAGATCTACCGTATGACCCAGCTATACTTTATTATTATCACTTGTTTTGGTGTTGGTTGTTGAGTTTACAGCCTCAACACTGTATCTGCAGCCCCAGCTAACCAAATTCTGAATATATTTCAAAAGAAAAAAAATGAAATCGACATACTAATGAGATACCAGCACATAAATATTTGTTGTAGCACTATTTACAACAGCAAAGATATGTAGCTATTAACATAGGTAAGGTATATAGGGTAAGTGACTATCAATGGATGAATGAATAAATGTGCCATATAAACATGTGGGACATTATTTGACCATAAAGAAGGGTGATATCATGCCCTTTATGGGAAAACGAGTGGTACTAGAGGATATTGTGTTAAGTGAAATAACCCAAACATAGAAAGAAAAAAAAGTACTTCAAGTTCTCTATCACACTAGGAAGCTGAAAGGAAAAAGGGTGGAGTGAATGCAAATGTAACTAGACATGGGAATGGCGAGAGGGTGGACGGGGAAGACTGAATTTGATCATTGTGTCACCATCCTGAGCCACCAAATTGCTGATGATCTATTGTTCTATCATCAAGTGGCCCTTGCTTGCAAAGACTAAAGCCTGGATGGTGATAGCCACATGCCTTCGGTTAGCAAAGTATCGCATACTGTCAGCAAGCTAAAAGGACAGACCCCAGGATGCCTCTGTTTGGTCCCAGTGTCATGTCAACACTGCAGGTGATCTTGGAATCCTTCTAATTTCATAATAAAAGCATAACCACCAGTGCTATGAACCCATGCATCTGTGTCCAAATGAGTCCTTCCCAAGACTCTCATCTGCACCTGTCATGAGTTTGAAGGCTCTCCAACTCAGTACTCTAGACAGCTTTGGCAGTAGGCAGAATATCAAATGCCCCATGAACAGAGAAAAAGTGCTCAGAGTCTAAAGGTACCTTCTCTCCAGGCAGGTCTAGGGTTTGGACTCTTAGCGCTGGTTTATAAGGGGTACAGTATGCATGCTGTGATGTGTGCCACTATGCCTGGCTATTTTATGTTGTCTTATTTTTTTTCTTTTTTCAGAGCTGAGGATTAAACCCAGGGCCTTGTACTTGCTAGGCAAGTACTCTGGCACTAAGATAAATCCTCAACTCCTTTTAAAAACTTTAAAACTTTCCCTGTGGAGTGTTTACACTCTGTAAGCCCCAGCTTTGCCAGGACCATACCAGGAGCATGGATTCCTAGCATGGCCATAGAAACCCAGTGTTCACTCTCTGCTATGGCCACACGTCATACTCACCCACCAGCTCAAATATCCAAATTACCTCAGTTTCATTCGTTCTAAGAGCCATTGCCCCAGATGTCTGGGAGTTAGTGGGGAGAGGTGTTTGCCTGCTTATTCCTTTTATTTGAGAGTTCTGAACTGTATGTTCTTTAACCAGCAAACATTCATTGAAATCTTGAGAGCTGAGCACTGTGCTCAGTTTAATGGTAGCATCAACACAAGATTGCATCTCTTGTCTCAGAGGGGGAAAAGAAATAGTGACAGGGCCCAGGAATATAGATTTAGGCTACCCCAAATTCCATATTCCAACATGGAAACAGTTCCATGACTTTGTAGTAACAAAACAAGGAAAGGCACAATCACACTTTTCCAATACCTTAGTGGGTGCATCAGGTAGGCCATTTACAAGAAAGCAGGGTCTATCTACTATGGGTCTCAGATACTAACCAATGACATTCTTAGCTTTGGGCTGCAGGAGCCAGGGGTCCATTTGTATATTCCAAAACTTCTTACCTAATAGTCACAGGGTGTTAGGCTAGATACAAAGGTGGCAGTGAGGGGATAGCAAAGGAACTAAAGGCAGGCCAAGATAATCTGTAATAACATCCCAACTCCTCCACAGTCACTGAAGTTCTGATGAGCCTTTGAAAATGCATGACTTCTTCATAAAAAACTTTTGGCTTGCCAAAAGCAATGCACAGATTCAATGCAATCCCCATTAAAATACCAGCACAATTCCTCACAGACCTTGAAGAACAATAATCAATTTTGTATGGAAAAACAAAAGACCCAGGATAGCCAAAACAAGGCAACGTCCGGAGGCATCACCATCCCTGACTTCAAGCTCTATTATAGAGCTATAGTCCTGAAAACAGCTTGGTATTGGCACAAAATTAGACTGGTAGACCAATGGAATAGAATTGAAAACCCTGATATTAACCCACACTTGTGTAAACATCTGATCTTTGACAAAGAAGCTAAAACTATACAATGGAAAAAAGAAAGCATCTTCAACAAATGGTGCTGGCATAACTGGATGCTGGCATGTAGAAGAATGCAGATAGATCCATGTCTATCCCCATGCACAAAACTTAAGTCCAAATGGATCACAGACCTCAACATAAATCCAGCCACACTGAACCTCTTAGAAGAGAAAGTAGGTGGTAACCTTGAACGATTTGGTACAGGAGATAGCTTTCTGAACATAACACCAGTAGCACCGACAGTGAGATCAACAATTTATAAATGGGACCCCCTGAAACTGAGAAGCTTCTGCAAGGCAAAGGACACAGTCAGCGAGACAAAAGGGCAGCCCATAGAA